GAAATGTCTAATTAAACAGAAGACTCAAATAAAACAGAACAGTGCTGTGATGTGTTTAGTTTTGTTGACTGCAGTGACACGGTCACAGGTTTTAATCCACAGTCACAGGGGTCCTTTATTGTTGTGGGGTTTGGATGCTCTTTCTGTTCTTGTGGCATCTTCCCACAGAACAGACAAGTATGGGTCAACAGGCGATTCAAAGTTGGTCGTATTGTGAGTGTCATTGTGTTAATGGCTGTATGCGACCTGTTCAGAGTACGTCCCTCCTTTTGCCTTATGAGAGCTGAGATAGGCTCCATGATGGATTGATGAATGTTGTACAAGGATGAGCCTATTACATAAGGGAGGCATTGAAGCAAGGTCTGTGACACCTCTGGCAGGAGAGAAGGACTAATCAATAAACTTTGATTTAAAATGGCAAAGTGTAGAGAGACAGAGAGACCTGAGATTTAACATGAGATTAACTTTGTAAAGAAATGACAGACAAGTCATTTCATTATCTAGTAATCACCATCATAAAATTCATTAAAATATAACCAAGAGGCAAATCTGAACACTACAGGTGTGAGGGGCTAACAACGCAAAATGACCATCAGTGTTAATAGAAACACATCAGTCAGTTAGAGAAGACTTAAACCAGTGTAAAGCAGTTACAGCTACAAATAAACTGCTCCAGACTAAAGGTAAGACTTTCATGCTCCTGTTTACTGAACCTTACTGAACTGACCAAACCGCTTATTTGTATTAATTACAAACAAGTTTAAATTTCTTATTTTTCTGTTTCTTATTTTGTTTCCTATGAATCAAAAGATTGACAATATCCATTTGCAATAAGTGATCTTTTTATTACGTCAAGACAAAAAAAGTTATAGAAAATATTAGATTTAGTCTGTAAGCACTGAAAATACTGATGCAGTCAACCGATAAATAGAAGTCAATAGATAGATAAATAAATAAATACAAAAAGTAACAGGCAAGCAGATAAATGAATACATTTTCATGTAACAGACAGATTTTAGTTGGCAGTATGCAGAGATGAAGTCAGCTGTTCTGCTCTCATGAGATGGGCTACGGTTTCCTTCCTGATCACCTCCCAGGCTTCAGCACTGTGACCCTACAGACACAACAACATTAACATTAGTAAAATATGGCAGAGGTGTTTAATTAAAGAATTGGTTTTAAAAAATAATAAAGACCTACCTTCTTCTTTAGGACATCATCTGAAAGTCTTTTGAAATACATTTCTGTCCTGAAATACAGCTGTGAGTTCTTCTTCTTGTGACCGTGGCTCCCAATCTAATTTAATTACAAGCAAAACGACAATTAAGAATATGTCATGTCATGTAAAGTATCATATTCAAATGTAATAAAAACCTAACTGAAAGTGAACTTACACAGGAGTGAAGCTCTTCAGCCTGTTTGTTGACAATATTGAGAAAGTTCCTCACTGTGCTGTCCTCCCATGATGCAGAGCTGTGATCCTCCTCAAACAGGGCAGCCACCTCCTCCAGAATCTGAACTGTGAAAGCCAGTTTATCCTCATCCTGGAAGAAGAAGAACAGATTACCATAATTCCCTCCTCTATTAGAGAGACATTCAGTAGCAAAGGTGCCAGAAATATATTGTTTGGCTCACATAAATTACCAATATAATATTTACATAACATTGTAGATTATTGATACTATGGGCTAACGTTTAAAGAAAAAAAAAAACATAGAAATATGCGCCATGTGGCCCATTTGTTTTATATATATAAGGAGATATTGTTCTGTGCTCTCATTGTGAACTCAGAGAAAATTCGTTTATAAATAAACGCTAAGATTAACTTACTGATGCTTTGGACGCTTGGCGGTACAGATGATTAGGGAAAGCCACAGTGACCTCCACTTCAGCATCTTCAGTGGTGTTGGTGGAGTTATAAACCTGTATAACAACGAGAAACACGCAGCTCATGTGTTAAAATAATCAAACATCAAGTTCAAACCACTAAATGTTGTTACAGTTTTCTTAAAAAGAGCGCACTCACCATGGTATCAAGCAGATTCAGAGTTTCTTCGTTGTGCTGTCTGAATTTTTGATCCATCCATTTGCAGCTCAGCGAGGAGCCTGCAGTGACCAGACTGAGAAACAGGCAAGCAAAGAGAATCCTGCTCATCATCATTTTCAAAAGGTATTAACTGCTCTTCTATGAAGCAAACTCGGATGTCTCCTGGTGTTCTGATGGAGCAGACCTGTAACGCCGCATTTATGGTAGAGCAACATATTTCGTTTTCTACCTGCGGCTTTTACCGCAGCATTTAGGTAGAATCAAACATATTTCGGATTTAATTAGATCCTAAATCGTGTGAAACAATCACTGGCGTACAAAAAGGGAGGATATCGGTAGTAGGAATAAGTTAATAAAATAATAATAATAAAATAAAAGGGCTCCTGGTAAAACAGCAGCCTACAAACACCGGCCATAACACGGAGCAAGTGAAAACAAACACAGCTCACGACCGACGCTGCAATTTGAAATGTTTAATCTTTGATATTTCATATTGAAAAATATAAATGGTAATAATTACTATTGGGATTTTAGCTGCTAATACAAGTAGGTTGCAAACACCAAGCCATGATCACCTATCATTGCCTATAAGATTTATTTTTTTATTTATTTAAATATTATTTTTGGCAGAGGAACAATAAAAGTCTAAGCAAAGACACCCTCTCTTATCAGTCTTGGGCTGAATATAAAATTGCATGACTTTCGTTTTTCTACTAGGGTGAAAGTCTACTCTAATCTTCCTAATAAAAATGTGAAGGACAATCCCCTTCTCCAGGTTATCTGGTTCACACGCTGATAAAACAAGGCGAAATATCACTGACCGATTCGTAAGAATGAGCGTCACAGCTCAGGCGCCCAGTCACCAGGACGCTTTCACTTTCTCAACACAGTTTCT